TAGATAGAGATCAGCGCTCAGACTTAATCAGAAAGGTAAATTCGGCTTCACACAGCTGAGTAGTTTTGTGATTTTGCCATGAGGTCGGACAAAAGGCTTTCTGGACATCTCAAGAGAGAGCAATGAAAGGGCAAAGACATGCTGCTGTAAAGTTATAAACTGTGTTGAGATTATAGGCAGGTGAATAAGGAGTCAAAGATTTCCTAATACAATGTTTTGACATTTTGGGAAATATTCACTTCAGGCTCCCAGAAACACAGCTCAGCCTTCCTTGCAATGTTTCCCAGTGGCCACTTGCGGTATTGCAGCGAATAAATCCCATCTGCGCCAAAAAGCATTTTCCCCATAGACCACAATTATAAAAGAGACGTCTGTAAAACTGTTGACAGGACACCTCGAACTGCTTACAAGGTAAATTATGAATCTTTCTATTCTGAGTTTTTGAACCATGGTGATTATGAATATGTAAAACTTTCTTCAAGCTGAGAAAAGCGATTTAAAAATCTGTGATGCTGCAGTAAATAAGTAATCAAGTAGGTAAAATTTATTTATATAGCACTTTTTACAGACATAGGTCACAAAGTGACATAGAGACAACGTGACGATGTGAGCCAAGTGCACAACTGCACATATTCAATAGGCTGGAGACATTTCTTTGCATATGCACCAGGATAGCAGGTGCCATCTTGGTGTCCGGTGTCTAGATATAATGATAAAGCTGTGATTCACTTTCTTGCTGAGAGATTAATGAAAAGATCAATGCCACTCTCAAATCTAAAGTTACAGCTAGCAGCTAGCTCAGTCTAGCTTAGCACAAAGACTGGAAACAGGAAACAGTTAGCCTGGCTCTGTCTAAAGGGAGTAAAATCTACCTGCAGCACCTCTACAGCTGGTTTGTTAAGGCTTTGGAGGTGGATTTTGTTACCATTGAACAGAATGAATCTAGCTGTTTCACCATGTTCAGTCTTGCTAGTCTATGCTAAGCTACGCTAAGCTAACTGGCTACTGGCTGCAGCTTCATATTTCCACAAACATGAAGCTGGTATCAGTCTTATCATCAAACAAAAATGTGCATTTCCGTGTTGAAATTCACATGTGGAACTACTCCTTTAAAAGATGATGGAGAATTCTGCACTGCTGTTGGCACTTAGTCATGGACGCACTGAAGGAAGAGAGGGATGGGTTTTTGAAGGCGGACAAAGCCACGCATGGACACAGGGGCGGTCATGTGCCATGTAGGTCCAGTGGAAGTTCCACGTGTGGCGGTCGCCTCTGTTGTGGTTTTGTGGTGAAAACCTCAGACAAACTGGACTTAAATGCAAATGCATCACATGCAGACAATGCTGGCGTGAATCGGGCTGACTTCTGAGAGCAGTGGTCAGGCAGCTGGCACGTTTTTAATAGCCTTCCTGGACACGCTTTCACATGCATTCTGTATTTGAAGCACATTTTCACTGCATGTGTCACTGCTGCTTACACTCACTGCTTTTTACTAGTGGATTGCAAGCAGGGGGAATGGTTGACAAATTGATGTTTCATTTAGTGATTTCTCTTAAACCAAAAACCTTTGTATTGACTGGAATCACATGAGGAAAGACTTTATAATGGTGCATTATGGAAAAAATGACTTTTGGCAGATGCTTTTGTGCCTCTTTCTGGAATGGGCAAGCCTTTTCAAACATGAGCTCAGTCTGCTGTATGCAATGATTTGGGATTACATGCATTCATCACACTATAAATCAGTTTCACCTTGCTCTGCTGAAGTTCAGTTGTTTCGGTCACTGCACTTCGGGAGGTCAAGCGAGTCCCGCTGCGGAAAACCGACATTCCTCAACCCCTCTAACCCCGTCCAATTTGTTACTTGACACTTTCCCAAAAAAGAGGTACTTAATTGCAGGTCCCATTTTTGTTTTGCTCTCTCTATCATTGTCGTTTTATTGATCATTTTTTTTCATTTCTCTCTCTGCTGTGTGTGCTCATGTGTTGCACATGTTTGCACGAGTGTGCTATATCTTGGTGCGCATGTGTGACTTGTAATTAGCCCGTTGCTCTGGTCTGTATGGCATTTTAACAAATACTTCTATATATATCATTGTATCAGGCTGAAGTTATAGCAGTTTCACTCACTGCCACTTTCTCGTATTTCCATCCTTGCCTCCCTCATCTCCTATTCCTCCACAGCTCTATCGGTCCCTCAGCCCTGAGTGTTGTTTTTTCAAACTAGTGGTTTTTCCGTCCGAGCTTTATCTTTCTCTTCCTCCCTGAAATTATGCTTCAGTAGCCTGTCATTGGCACGAGGGCCTCGCTGGACCAAAATCATAAACTCGTTACATTTTTTATTTTCTTGTTTGTGTAAGGCACAGCTTGGTGTTGGCTGGATGTTACGGCATTCCAGATGTGTGTGTGTGTGTGTGTGTCTGTGTGTGTGTCTTAATGCACAGATAATGTGTAAGACACATCAGCACACACTTACTGCCCACTTACACTGTGGATATGCTGCACAGGTGAATGTGCTGTGTGCTGACCACACAGAGGAAGAGAATGAACGGGTCTGAGTGGAGAAGTGTTGATTTGCTTCCTAACTAATGTTTAAAACATTATGTTTTGCTGCGTGGTCAAAGGTGAAGAGGTCCATTAAAGTGGCCTCACCCCTCACACACAACAACACACATGCACACACACACACACAGACACACACACTCTCTGTTTTAGCTGTGATAGAAGGGGCATGTCCTAAGGACGTCAGGGGTGTGTCTGTGGTCAGAGTGACTGTATAAGACACAGGCAGGTACATTGAATTCTACATTCAGCTACACTAGACTTTCAAGTTTGGTGTCACTTCTCAGACTTCTGGAGTTGCACTTTAGTGTTAACTCTGTTTTAGGTTTTGGTTTTTAATCTTAATTTTGTAGTTGTAAAGTCCAGTAGTCTATTTAACGTCACTTGTCCAAGTAGCACCATAAACGACTTTTGTCAAGTGTTGCTCTTAGACAGCTGTAAGAAAGTTAGACTTGAGTTTGGTCCTGACTCAGCATTTATAGCAGCCTATACAGCATCCTTGCTGAGTTGCCACGGCAACTGTGTCAATCAGCTGCAAGTCTGGGGTAAGTATGCCGCTCTGCTTTTCTCCTCTCGCTCTGATTTTATTGCTCTGTCTTGTATTCCAGCTTTCTTCATCTCTATCTTTCTCCATCTCCTCCTCCACTTTTTCATCTTTTCTTCCTTCTCTTGTCATCCTCATTCTGTCATTCTGTTTTTCTTTCTTTCTTTCTTTCTTTCTCTGACATATTCCAAATACATCTAATGTTTTGGCTTTGGTCAGTGGCTGTTTTACAAGCTGATTTGGGTTCAGTTAGTCTGTCAGCTACATTTTCTTCTCTTGAGTTAAAAGTAAAAAGAAAAGAGAAAAAGAAAAAACATCTTTGGCATATTCGGCTGTCAGATATAGTCATATTCACAGGGGCTGAAGTCATGCAATGTGATACGTGCTAAGAATGTAGAATTATGTTGTGTGAGTCTCTCATGTCTATAATTTTGAAAGTAAAATCTCCACCACAAATAACCTGCTGCATGCCGGGTGCCCTCTGATAATACTGGTCCTGTGTGAATTCACAGTCCTGTAATTGCGGTCACAAATAAGAGCGCAGGGTGCGACGAAATGCGTCCAACAAACTGTTTTATTGTGTGAGTTGCTTTCTTAATAGGATGCTGTGGGGCATACAGTGAAAAAAGTGATTGCTGAAGATTATTATTTGTGTCGCAGCAGTTTTACAAATTGTCATAACATGATTCTTTAATAGGATTCTGGATATTCAGTGTTGGTTTTGATCAGTCAGACACACTGCACCTTGAGCTGTCACAGAAATTGAACCTATAGTCCTCTGCATATTTGGTGGCCACCCTGCTGGCTGCCCTGCTCTGCTGCCTTTTTACAGCAATGTCAAAAATATCTTCATGCTACTATGCAGTTTGGACATTTTACATTAAGCAGTGTAAAGTCAAATGTGAGGGTGAGCCAGTTTAAGTGCCAGGATGCTATATTTGGAGCCAAGAATTTCTCATTGATAAGTGACCTCGGATTGGATTTCATTTTAGTCCATGAAGTTATACAGAAGCTTTAGTACAGGGCAGTAACAAATGCCTTGCTGACCACTTGTTCTGTGTGCATATAGATACATATGTATGCGAGCGCACTGTAGGGATTTATGCTATTTTAAATAAGCTGTTGACAAATGTTTTCCGTCTGCAAATTGCTAACTTTAGAGATGACACCATTGTTTTGCTGTTATACCATCTAAACACATGCCCCATAAGTGAAGAGTTAAAGAAGGGGTTTGACTTTTTATTTACTTCCAGTATCCAAAAAAAAAGACACTGCAAAATAAAGCAGCACAATCATCCTCAAGACTGTTTTTCTACCTCACCTAAATCTCCGGAAATGCTCATCCCAGGGCAGCTATCATCAAGCATTGAGGAAAGTCAGCATGTGTCTGCAAATGAATATGTTGCGGCATGAATAACTGCTTTAAAAGGTGTATTTGAGAACCTAAGGCCTAAAGATAGCCAGAGAAAAGCCCTGGTTCATTCACTCCTGTCCATAAAAAGAAGCTGATTCATGATAAATGTTATTTACAGGTATTGTCCAACTGCTCCTTACCTCCCTGTCACTCGAGTCACTGCACTCCGGATAAGTCGCAAAGAGTGACTCAGGTGTTTTTCGCCATGTGACGTGTGGTTTTGTGTGAGTGTGCATGCCTGTGTGCTGGATGTATGTAGAGGTGTTGTAAAGCTGTGTTGTGATATGTCATGCTGTTATGTGTCATCTATATGTGAGTTGGCACTTAAACGGTCCATAAATTGTGTTTGCAAAAAGGGCTCAGTTGTGTTGACCAAGGTGACATGCTTCATCTTTATTATCCACTTTAAAACCCATGTGACCGTGTTCTAAAATGTGATTATCCCCGTTTTCTGACGTGTTTCTGTGCCCTCTCTGCTTTCAGATCATATGAACATAGAAGAATACATTGAAGAAGATGAGGAACCACCTTTGCTGCTCCGCTCTCGTCCTTCTCACGGTAAATATTCACATTTGTGTGTATGTTGATGTACCGTATAGACCAGGTGGCATGTAGGTGAAGATTTAGTAAGTGAGTGCAAACCTTCACTGACTCATGAGCTTGTGTGTCTTCCAGGTGTTTGGCTGTGGTGGGACTGCAGCAGTGCAGTGTCGGTGGGGGGAAGGGTGTGTGTGTCTGCAATGCCCTGCAGGCCAGGAGCCCTCCAAGGTGAGACTACAAACTGAAATAAAAGCGATTAATAACAACTTAACCTGCTCTAAGGGACATTTTTGGTACAGTATAGTACTTTTTGTCCCCTTAGAGATCACAAACTATCCCGCCATGTTACGTAATTATACCCCCCTACCTGCTTTAAATGCACTTTTTTCCAGCAAGGTGCATTTTTTCCTTATTCTGTATGATATAGAGCTTAAAAAATAAAGGGTAGAGAGTGCAAATGACTTAGAGCCAAATGTCGAATGTATGTATGAATTTTCATGTACATATTTGTGGTGATTCACTGTGAACAAGTGCCTCAATTTAAACCCTCTGGCCTGGGATCTTCAGTTAAATTTCTTCTCTTACCTTTTAATTGATGTTTCGGGTCACCACAGTCATAAACTAAGTTATTTGCTTACATAAATCGCGGTTTAATGATGGAAAACATGCATGACATTGCTTTTTAACCAAAGGGGGATTTTTGTTGAGGTGTGTCATGTTTCTCTTTAGTTGCAGGTTGTATTTATGAAGTTATAGTAGATCACATGCTGTTACTGGCACAACAAAACTACCATTCATCACTTAGATATCTGTGTTTACCTTTGCTGAAGCTATTTACGTTCATAGTAACTTCATCCTACAGATATATTTGACATACAAGGACAGAGGTCCTCAGGGACCTCAAGGATAAACTACTATAAGACACAACCAGTATAGAAAAATTAGTGATATTATTATTGTTATTTGGGGAAAAAAAGGAAAATATGTACTTTTCTTTAATACAAATTGCAGTTTTTCCAAAATGCAATCCGCATTAGTACTGTTATTACATTTAGTTTTCAGTAATTTCAAGTAAACATCATTGCATGTTGTGTTTACATGGCAAAACCAACCAGAGGGCTTTTGAGCCCAATATAAAATCACTAAAATAAACCGACAGTCCTTCAAACTGTTTTGTCTTTCAGTACAAAAGTAGACGGAGACCTTGGTCTCAGTAAGACCCCCTGTCAAAATAAAGGTTTGTCAATGAGGGGTGTTTACATAGAGCTATGAACACCACACGCTACAGGCAGTTATAGCACAAGATCTGGGTCATGCTATGCATACTGACATGTGACAGGAGTTCTGTGTTTGGGAGCGAAGGCAACAGCCTGTTTTTTGAGTAGATTTCCCAGCGATGGATGTCCATAGCAGAGGGTGGAGTTTTTCTTGAATTGATCAATTGAATTCGATAGTCATAAAACATTTCATTATGACATCATGTAAAGTATTTAGGGTTGCTGACAGAGTGCATGAGGAAATCTGTGTCTGCTGCATCTGTGTCTGACCTGAAGTGGCTGATAAGTGCCTCTACCTCCCTCTGATAGTGTGTTATACTCTATTTTCGGACCAATGGCAAACATGAACTCAGTAATTTGTTTCATCCATTAAAACTGTATAGGTGGAATTGGGTGCTTTTGACCAGGGTTACTTTTAAAAAGAAGCTAAAACAGAAAAAGAAACAAACTGATTAACAAAGTCATAGAGATTTGCAGGTACCTCAGTAGGATGAGGGATAGAGAAGATCTTATAATTCCAGTTATTGCAGACACTAACCCTCTGAAAACATCAGTGGGATGCTTCCTTTTCTGATTTTGCAGCCTCTGTTGCCTCTGAGTTTAGAAGTTTATTTCTCTCTTGCCAGGCTTGTGGGCAGATCCAAAGTCCAACAGAGGAAGTGCAATGTCAGTTGTGCCCAACTGGAAGCTTTTCAGACGCATTTGACTCTGAGGTTTGCCGCCCGCACGCCTCCTGCGAGATCCTCGGCCGCACGGTTGCAACCCCTGGCACTGCGACTTCAGATGCTGTCTGCGGGGACTGTCTGCCTGGGTGAGGCCCACCTGTCCACTTATTAATCCACAGTGAAACTGTAGGCTGGACATTCAAAGTGCTGTGCTCGAACATGCACCTCATACACTTTTTTTTGGTTCTAATTAAAGTCCTGCGATTTTCACTGTGTCGAGAGAACAGGAACACACACACACACACACACACACACACACACACACATACATGACGTCACTCACCGCAATGGGCAGGCACATTCAAGCACCATAGGACATAACATGCCACAGGCTAAAACCGCTTGTTCATTCTTTCTTTGTTGAGTGGACCTCCTCTTTTCTGTTCCCTCTGTCCGTCTCTCTAATTATGCTCTTTCCTCCTCTTTCTTTTTCCATTTGCAGGTTTCACTTCACTGCCACAGGGGAAGTTTCCGACCAAAGTCCTTGTGTGAAAAGTGAGCATGATCCTGCAGCATGTGTCTGACATTGTGTTTTACGTCACATGCTCCATCATTTCATAAACAATCATAATTTGTTCCTTATGGAAACAAGAGTATGCTTTTACATCCTGCTCTCTTTCTTCTTCTCCTTCCTCTCAGCATCTTTGCAAGTCAGGACGGTGCGAACAGTGGGTAAAGGTCCATCCAGCGGTGCAGGAGGGCCGGTCAACGGCACAGTGGTACGCAGTGCTGAGGAGAAGACGGCAGAGTACGCTGTGTTTGCTCTGGTGCCAATCTTCTGCGTGATGGGCCTGTTGGGTATCCTCATCTGCAACATCCTAAAGAAGAAGGGATACCGCTGCACTGCTGACAAGGAGGGAGGGGATGAAGAAACTGCCACACCACAGAAAGAAGGTGAGAGAGATGAAATGAGAGGAATTGGAGAGGAATAAAAGTTAGAAAAGAGAGCAAAATATAGAAAATTCCACAGAGAGTGATACTGAAACTAGCATTTATGTTCAGGTTGTTGTCACGTTCGGCCATTAAAGCGCCAAATTAGCTCGCACAAGATGTGGTCAAGTGTTGTCAGGAGTCAGGGCAAAGCCAAGCCCAAAGGGCAGTGTCCCTTCGTGCAGCCACAGGCCATGTATCTCTGTGATGTGACTGCACGCTAGTCTACATGGGAGGCTTTTTTTTCCCCAATCTCTTTGAACTTTGACCTCGCAGGGGTCAATACATGTCAAGCATGTGTTTTTCTAAGCACGGACTGTTATTCTTGTAATTTTCCTATCTGAAAGGGGGGAAAAAAAAGCATTCCCATCAACTCACTCACCCTGCTGACGTCAGAGAGAAACTGACTTGAGCAAACACAGAGAGATTTATAAAGAGAGGCAGGGGAGGGCAGAAGAAGAAATGGGGGACGGGGGTGGTATTAACTGGAAGAGGGATTGATATCAATGAATGGAAAAGTAAAGAGAGTTTAGAGAGCGACACAGAAGGATCAAGCAATAAAACAAGTGTTGAGTTACCACACCCGTTGTTAGCAGTTTGCTCAGTCTCAGAGTAACACGAGTGCTCTTTATCCCTGTCCTTTGGAAGTATATTGTTCAGGAGGAGTCTTAGATCTGGAGTTCTGCAGTATTTGACCTAAGTAGGAGTCGATTTTTCTCTTTGAGTCCAGAAATCTGAGGTCAAGTCACCTGTGGTATCCATACAATACAATGTGAGAAGTACAGTCACTTCTCCTTTATGCACCCGTACGTAACATGGTGTACGTCATAACTGTAACATTGATCAGAGCAGCTCTTTGTGTGGACTGTCTGGTATGTTTCCACACAGAACATCTGACATTTTGATAAACTATGTCTGCTGCAAGGACTTGTTTATAGCTGCACAAACTCCAAATGTGAGTCAGAGAGAGTTCATTTGATTTAGCAAACATTGCACATTGTGTTAGCCTGGTTGCCTCATGCTAACAGTGGACATTGCTGAAAGCAATAGTTTGTTTGGGAATTATTGGGAAATTCACTTGTTTCCTTGCTTAGATTAGAAGATTGATACCACTTTCAAATGCAGTCATCAGACATGCAGTCACAGCCAGCAGGTAGTTAGCTCAGCTAACACACAGGGGGAAAGGTCACTAAAGGTCTCTAGTTATTATAAAATGTTAAATTGTAGTTTTTACTCCTTGTTTTTTGTACAAATTAAACAAATAAGATATAGTATACCATTTTAATTAGTGAGCTTTAGAGGTTGTAACTGTTGAGTAGAGCTAGGCTAAAGTTAGCTATGTCCCTGGGGACTTCCTATTGCTGTGACGGCCAAAAATGCCAAAGCCCTAGTTGTCCAAAAAATGTCCCATCGGACGGAATGTCCATATCTCCAAAAGTCCGTTATCAAACACTTATGGTTCCTTGGAGTGTGTTTCTCTGTAAATACACACTCCTTTTAGTTACAGCAGCGGTTTCAACCAGGGTCCAGGGACCACCAGGGGTCCCCAAGAAAATTGGGAATGGTTTATTTTCGCTATTTAGAAGTGAGCCCAATGTACAAGTCATAAGGGTGACTATTCTGATCATGCTTCACAGTAATACCCTCAGCTGTATTTGAAAACTGCAGAATTCTGGTCATAACCAGAACCAACAACCAAAATATTTTCAGATGAAGGTCCCTGAAGCGAAATCTTACCAAATGACTGTCCATGCCCTAATGTGTATCCATTCAGGGCTCCTTGACATGGAAAGGTGGAGTACCATTAGGACAAGGCAACCCAACTGCCAGAAAAAGCATATTCACATCGTGCGTTTCTGTAAACCACCATTATATACACTACTTTGTAGTGGATATGTTGAAACTTTAGTTGCTCAGCAACACTGTGGTGAATGTGTAATTAGGTTTGGGCACAAAAAATACTCTGTTATGTAGAGTTTGGTAGCACAAAGGCTGCTTGAGAAGCAGGGATGGGTTGGTAAAATACACCAGGGATTGGTGGGAAACTAAAACTAACTGCAGTGGGTGTGTATTTTTGGAGAAACGGGACTTCGGAGCAATGGCTGTTGTTTTTATGACTAACAGGCTGTCAGACAAGTGGGCTTTTGTTGCAGGCAATTTTTGGACTAAGGGGCCTTCGGAATTTTGGGCCACTGGAACAATGGCATGGCACCAGTCTCCATGCTAAGCTAACCACCTGCTGGCTGTAACTTCATATATAACAAACAACTGTGGAAGTGGCACCAATCTAATCATCTAACTCTAGACAAGAAAGCAAATGAGTGAATTTCCCAAAATGTGAAGTTGTCCCTCTAAACAGCTATTTGCTTCCAGAGGCTACATAAGGAACAAATCAAGCTGGATAATTTACACGTTCAAGTATTATTTTCCTCACTTTTCGCTACCCCTTTTAATGCCATATAACTATCTGTGTACCTGTGCAGTTAATGTAATTTACTGTGTAAGCATAAACAGATTTAAAGGCTAAGCTGGCTTATCCCTCTCTGTGTTAGGCCAAGTAGCCATACGTAGTGCCAGGTATCAGCAGCGTCAGAGCACAGCTGCCGCCTCAACAGATCAGACTTTCCTTCAGCCCGTTCTGCGTCAAGAAAATGTTTGCGTTTGCACAACACCTGATGCTTTGGATGACTTACAGTCTGTCATTAGGATTAAAATGTTAAACTAAGTGGTGACTTTTTCCCATTTCAGCTACAACTACCAAGTAATTTGTGTCTTTTATGGTTTAGAGATGTTTAGAGAGATCTATTGTGTCACCAAGTCTCAAGAGCACATGTTGCTGAGGCTGTGTGGCGAGTTTAGAGATCCATGGCAAACAGATCTGGTAACAGATTTCATGATAAGCCTCATTAAGTCTCATTGTTTCATTTGTCATAAGCAGAAAGTCTAGCCTAAAAATGACATGCATTACACATTGCCAAAAAAATCCTCAACCATCTCATCACTGCATGTGCTTTTGAAGCAAAGCCTGTACGAAGATGATTTCCGGCGCCTGCGAGGACAAACAGAGGTCATTGCAACAGTATTTTGGTCACTGATCTCGTTTGCAGCGTTGCCTCGGTCTCTTCCTCTCCAAGCGCTTTGTTGTGAAACTTAAGACGCCCCTGCACCCAAAGTGAAACTCCCTGATCCCTCACCCCCCCCACTGCTCCGTCTATACTCTCCATTCATCCGGCTTCTTGGCTCTCTAACACCCCCTCCGCCTTCTTATATGAACATGACACTATCCATCCATCTCTCCTTTCCCAGCCGGATCAATAATTCAATTGGGTCCTCACCTCACGGTTTATGTCTCTTCTTACTCACTCCTCCCTCCTCTCCTTCTCTGTCTCCTCACCTTGTTCCTTCTTCTTCCTCTGTTCCATTTTTTGATCTGGTTTGTCAATTTCTATAGCTTGTCTTGCTCGAAGTCGACTACATGTGTGCTCTCTAGATGAAATCCTTTAACTAGATATGAAAGGTTTATGTCTCAGTGTGAGAAGTTTGACGATGACATCATGGCGATAACAGTAGCTGCCTTACTTTTAATGTGCTGAATTTCAACCTCTATGTAAAGATAAAAGAAGGATAATACCTATGCTAACGTTTTACAAATGAAGTCTTTTTCCATTGGAAGCAAGCAACAGTAACTGGGTAATTTTAGGAAACCTTATCACCTCCGTCACTCTCACCTCCCCTCTGTCTCTCCTCTTATACAGCTTAGAAGACAGATGATGCAGTGGTGCAGTGATAAGCTGTAACTGCATGCAGTGAGACAGATAAAGGACAAGAGAGCAGAGCATGAGCAACATAAAGTTAGCAAAGATGATGATAATGTGAGGAAGTAAAGGACTGCAGGTAAAGATTGAGAATTACAGAATGGCTTTCAATGCTGCATCTTTCCCTCTCTTGTTGTTATGTAACTATCCTTGTTGCAGTGCGCTGACTGTCTGTCAGTCCGCTGCTAAGGTTAGAGGTAAACTTCTTACTCCAGCACTTTTCACATCATCTCTGCTCAGGGGGAACACCCCTGGGGATGAATTACAGCAGGGCCAAGCTTAGCACAGCAGGGCGAAAAATCAGACTCTGCAGAGGTTACTCTCACTATGCAGAGCTGCAGACAGGGAAAAGTTTGACTTGCTGGAGAGCGCAGTGACAGGACAACTAAGGGGAGAAGCAGAGAGGGCAAACGCAGGGTCGATAACACAAGAAATGTCGTGCAACTTTGTGTTTACGCAGCGTGAAGCTCAGCCTGCGCAGACACAAGGGCAGTGGGGGAAGATAGAGTTTAGCTGCTGCTGTTTTCAGTTTCAGACATGTTAGCGCCGCGCGACTGCTGCATTTAAACCAACAAGGTGTCTGACTGGTGACATATTGCGGCTGACACTGAAACATTGAACACATGGATCTGACTCTTGTCGAAGGAATAAATAGAAGAGAATGAGTGCCACACTGTGAAATGGACGCCGTTATCCATGCATAGCAACAGCCACTGTGGAGACAGAGCCATTGTTATGGCCTAACAACAGCCTGACACTGCTTATGCAAGACAGACGCGCACATAGACACAAATGCATCTATACAGTCGCAGTTTGCTCTGCAACACACAGATACACACAGTCACCTGGCATGGGGGATATGGTACAACACACACACATAGAGCCCTGTGTGCTTCGACAGTGCTGAATGGAGTGTGATCGCTGAGTGAGCTATTCTGGACCCCCCCCCTGCGCCCTCATCGCTCTCCTCTCAGCTGCCTCACTGTGCTGTGCTATTATGGGATGGTCAGGGGGCGTTGCCATGGAGGCATATCTATTCTTTGCTGTTCAGTCATCCACATCCATCCTTATCAGTCCCATCGTGCTCTGGGGCACAATATTCCAGCAGTGACATGCACTAAACTGCATTCACTCTGTTCCCATGTGTGAGTGAAGTGGCTGTAATGGTTATTTAAAGCAAAAACATAGTGTGGATTATATCTTTATATATAATAAATAGCCCTAACAGGATGAACTTATTTGGTTTGAAATACATGCCATTTTCTGGCAAGAATATATCCCAAAATATAATGAATTTTAATTGTATCTGACTTTCTTCATCAGCAGAGTTTCTCGGTTGTCACACAAATGGCTCAGTTGTCATCATGTTACCTAACTATGATATTTAGGCATATATGTTAACTATCTAATATGGAAAATACCAAATCGTCTTTACAGTAGGCACAAAGTGGTGATAACTGGTATACTTCACTACATGCTGCAAGTATTTGTCAATATATATTAGAAGTAATTCACTTGTCAATAGCTATATGACACTGCTTTTGTATTTTGACATTGTTTCACAAAACACTTTATAACAATTCTATGTCTTTTTTGCTTGCCCTAGGTAACAACTGTCCCTACATATCTGACGACGTGAATGAAGACACCATCAGTGTCCTGGTTCGCCTCATCACTGAGAAGAAAGGTAGGTGTTTGAGCAGCAGTGACGTCGCTCACATGCCAGCGGTCAGAGCCATTTCATCTCTTGTGGCTTTAGAGGGGAACACAGAGTCATCAGAGTACGTCACAGACACATATCCGCTGCCACGAGCTCAGGCTGTCCGCACCTTATTTCCACTGTAGATGGTTAGCGCTGGAAATGCAAACACAGCAAAAGGGGAAAGGGGAATAAGAAGGATTTCCCCATAGAAACAAAAGTAGAACAAACAAACGACGCTCAATATTTAGAACATGTGCATTAGCCCCCCCTCCCCTAAGGATACACATGAAAGTCATGGAGGACTTTTATTTTGACAACATTAAAGACATTTACACAATAAATTGATGCAGAAAGGGCACAAATTGGTGCATAACAATTCACCAGAATGCAGAAAATGAGGTGTTTGATGCTCAAAATTTTCTCGCAGAGAAACCCCAACCTGTCTGTTTCATATGTGTTCCCCACAATTTTGAAACGACACCTATGCCTATAATGATCCCAGTCAGAGTTAAGTTTTCCTATCAATCACCAGTAAGCACAAAGATGACTGTTATCTATAAACATCTAATATTGTCCAGAAACCATGATCCAATAGACAGGAGAACTTTGATTATTCTGATCTACATTACTGACCATCACATTGACTGCACCTCATCCGAATGTCTGTGTGTGTTTCAGAAAATGCTGCTGCACTGGAGGAACTGCTGCTGGAGTACGAGAGCAAACAGTTGGCCATGAGCAAAGGCTCGTCAATCAAGTATGTTGAGCACACTCAAAATCAATCTCTAACATGTACTTTTGCTCAGTCATGCTGCTCAAGGTCAAGATAAAAACAGAGGAAAGTTTCAGAGCGAGCAAGGCAGTAAAAGAATTTGGACGGAGGCTCACGAGAGAAGAGAAGGAGAGAAAACCTTGTCAAACGTTACAGAGGGTTGCTCTTCAGAGATGAAAGCAGAAAGCTGTGTAACAATATAAACATATAGATTCAGAACCACCCTTTAAATTGCAAATGAAATATAATCTAATAGACAATATTATGACTTGCCTCAAGCTCCCAGCGGAGCCATTTGGTACAAAACATGTTAACATCGTAATATTTTCCATTGCAAACAGGTTTTATTTCTTTATCTTACAAATAAAAATGCCAGCAGTGTTTTACAGGATCATAATTACGTAACTCTAACACATTTTAATAATATAATGCCACCTGCAATGTATTATTTGTGCACTTCTTTGACAAAGGGAAAAAGAAAGTACCCTCACACACATGAAGTCTCCTCAGTGGAGCCCTAGAGTGGGCTGACACTTGGCAGTGACTCACGGCCGCATGTCTGAAGTGAACGTCTGACACAGTTGTAACCGCTGTCTCTTGAGTCATGAGGCTCCAACAGCCGGCCTGTCGCTAAGCTCATTGGCTGTCACACAGCTTGTAGTCACACGATTTACATGACCAAGTGTCGCTGCGGCTGGAACTTTGGTTGCAATCTGCGGCCGTTAAAAGTGCTCAAGTAGTCAGAAGTTAATCTAACAAATCCAGCAACATGTTGCTTTATGCCACAGTTTACGCCACTGTGTTGCAACTTTTCCTTTATCAGCACTGGCAGCGAAAGAGAAGTCATCTTCACAGACCATTCTCTGCTGCTCACCAACCCAGCTTCTCCCACAGAAGTTCATCTTATCTTACATTATTTTATGGATGGTAACTGGATCCATTACACATGTACAATAGTGAGAGGTCTCAGGGGGCCTCTGGCAGTGTGCTGCCACTGCTCAATGGGCTGCTGTAACATGTGAGCTTTAGATTCGAGAACATTCTGACACCCACACGCGATATGTACATTGAAATCTGGAAAGCTTTCAGATCGTGTGTGATTGTGTGTGTGTGGTGGGAGGTTCTGCCAGGGTCACTACAGGTCACCCACTAGTACAACACAGGGACACACAGCTGCATTCATCTCGTTTGCTCTGCCTCTCTTTGCACAAAAGAATAGATAAACAAAAACTAAAGAGGCCTAGGTGAAGAGATTAAACTTTAGATTTCAATTTTTTATTTATTTTCCACTCACATCTAAACCGAACAAGGGTAGAGCTCATGGTAATGTTTCCAATATAGTGGAACTAGTTAGCATGGCGGCTTGTGGTGCTCAGAGTGCCAAAAAATACATTTGATTAACTCGACAGCAGTGTCTCTTTCCAGAAATCATGACTCAGTTACCCAAGATAATCCAAACATAAAAATGCCTGAACATTTAAAAAATGTAACTGATCAGTTATTGACTTCCTTTCTCCTCCTCTCCTTCTCTTCCTCCCAGGTTCCCCATGCTGTCTCCCCTGTCCCCGTTCCGCTCCCTCCCCAGGCTGTGCCCCCACCAGTCCCACCTCCACACCATCTCCGGCCTCTCCGGCCTGGCCCCGAAACACGGCTACCGCTGCACCCGCTGCGCCCAAAGAAAATGGCCCCCTGTCCTCATACCTCCCCTGGATTCCCTCAAAGACCCCCTGAAGCCCCCACAGAGCCTCATCCTGTCCTCCCTGGACACATCCAAGGACCAGCAGAAGAGGCCCCTGCTGGGAGGGGTGTTCGTCGACACCCACCACACTCAAGCTGTTGTGCCAAATACTGTACAGGAGAAGGTGGAGGGGAGTGAAGTGAAGGAGAGGAAGGAGGGGGAGCTGACGGTGCTGTCTGTGGGGAGGTGAGACACATGACAATATGACAGTATGACATGCATATACAGTCACTTTTACTTTTACTCCACTGCATTTCAGAGGCAATTTCTAATATCACTTCTGTACTTTTACTTTTAAAGCAGGACTTTTTTATTTGCATTTTTAAGGATTATTTCACCCATATAGAGAATGAAAAAGATAAGGTAAAAGGGAAAAAAGAAAACACATAAATACATACATAAAACTGAAAATTGAATTTCCCCTCTGCAGGATTAATAAAGTATATAAAAAATTAAAAACAATAAAACATAAACAAACAAAGGCGATATCAGGAAATAAGCGACAATAATATAATGATAAGAAATTAAGAAATTAAGAAAAGAAAAGCAAATTACTTATAAACACAAGCCTTATAATACATGCTCGCACCCATAAATGTGTGTACCCAGACATAGACACATAGTTACACACATATTTATGTGGATGATGAAGAACAAAGCAGGGCTTTTACTTGTAATGGCGTATAATCTACTTCCTTTTCTGAAGGATCTGAATACTTTGTCCACTGCTGACACATTCGCAGTCATTTCACCCCACTCCAGTTGAGTTATAGAAAGGCTACAACCATCTGTAAACTGTACAAATGGCTTTTAATGTAACAAGTTTTAAAATAACCCTCCAAAAGTAGCATAAAAGATGACACAGTAGAAAGAGTAATTAAGACACACACACCCAGACACACTGTCAAACAGCTTCGCACTCCTGTAAGCATGTGTGTTTTAGTGGCAGTGACCATATCTCTCGTTTGACCGACAGATTCCAAGTCGCTCAGATCCCCGAGCAGAAACCTGTCACCGTGGATCCCAAGACATCATCTCAGGAGCAAAGAAACTCCCTGTTTGGAGGGAAATCCTTCTGCTCCTCTTCATCCGGCATCAGGAGGTACAACCTGCAACACACACTCACAGGCCTCCCCCTCTCACTCTCATTTCACTTCTACCCCATGACTCCTCGTTGTAATTACAACTCTCCTCCTCCTTTTCTTTCTGTTTCTTCCACAATTGTTATGAGTTAATGTGCTGCGACGTAGCTTGAGATCATCAGCATGTCAGATTGCATTCTTGTGGCCAGCACTGAATTATGTGGTCTGCTTTACCAGGAAAGGAAATTATACAGAGTGTAATCTGTTTATCAGAATCTCCAAAATGATTTGGGAAATGAGCCTCTTCTGTTTCTAATCGTCTGCTCCAATTTTTCTAATCAGCATTGTAACAGTAATCATGTGGCCCTGCCTGTCATCAGAACAGTCTGCTGGATTCGTCATGTGTTATGCTTAAAAAAAATCCTTTTATTAATGTTTTAAAATCAGCCCAAATGAGGAATAATGAGATAAGTGTGCTTTGGAAACTCTCAAAAGCAATTTATTTGTCATGTATATGCCCCCCTCTTGACATTTTGACTCTCTCTTTCAGGTGAAGAGCCAGAGAGACGGTGTATGATAACGCTACCTCGCTGAAGATGACCTCATCGTTCGCTGACAACTTGATAGCTGGCAGAGAGGGTGTTTCCACACGAGCGACACCAAGAAACCACAAAAACAAACTGGAAGAAGTTGTTTCTATTCAGGCGATAAGAGGAATTTAACTGTATTTATTATGACATAAAAACAATATTGTAATTTTACAGATGCATCAGATATCATAGAAACTCATCACATCACGGCTGCTTCCCTGTCCCAACCCAAAGAGAAAGCGGAGAGCGTAGTTTTGTGATAACAGATTGTGAACACCTGACACGAGAAGGAAGGGTGAGAGGGAGAAAACAAAAAAATGCACTCTCACCCCCTTTATCTGTGCTTCCACCTAGAAAAACATAGACACAGGGGTAACACACACGTAGGCTGACACATCTTTAACATACATGTAGACAGAGACATCTACACTACTTCTGCACAGTAAAAAAGGACAAAACACTGTGGATACATTACTGACACAAAGACAAAGCTCAAACAACAGTGAGACTGGAACAAAATCATTCAAGTGTGTACGTTTGAAAAAGAGTAAATGTCAAGCCAAGTTGTCTGGGATCAAGTGCCATGTGAATTAAGACTATGACGGTTTCCATCAAATCTGGCTTGGCTGAAATATGAACCTGTATGATTTTGGGTCATAGGACACTTGATTTAAGACCACAGTAGCACTACAGGAAGTATTATGAGGACAAAATGTTAAAGAATTTAATATTATTTTGTTGTTTATTTATCTAGCTCCTTTTCCTCTGCTCACACAGAATTTAAAGGTGAGTTGAGATTTTAGACCCTGAATATGTTGAATGTAGTGTTTAAGGGACAGTTCACTCCAATAATCATGAATACATATTTTCCTCTTACCTGTAATGTTATTTATGGAGATTGGTTTGGGTTTAGTCGCAGAGTGTTGGAGATATTAGCTGTAAAGATGTCTACTCTCTCAAATGTAATAGAACTAGATGGCACTCGGCTTGTGGTGCTCAAAAATTCTACATCAATGTCTCTTTCCAGAACTCATGATCTGTCTACTCAAGAGAATCCACAGACCTTGTTGTGAGCAGTTTCATGTAGGAACTATTTTCTTTCTACCAAACTACACCCGCCAACAGTATCGTCATGTATAAGGAAGCATGCATCTACTCATGGACTACAGGACCATGCATGACATGAACTGTAAACGTTAATGTTAAATAAACCTGCTCCATTGTAGTCATCAAAGTGCTTTTTACGCTACGAGTCACATTCACCCATTCACACACACATTCACACAGTGGTGGGCCGAGGCTACCATACAAGGTGCCACCTGCTACTCAGTTTTTAACACACTCACACACCAATGGAGCATCAGGCGCAATCTAGGGTTCAGTATCTTGCTCAAGGATACTTCGACATGCAGACTGGAGGAGCCGAAGGTTGAACCACTGATCTTCCGATTAGTGGACGACTCGCTCTATCTTTGAGCCACCGCCGTCTGGCTGAGCTGGAACAATAGCTAGCTCAGTGGTGCTAATTTAGCTAGCAGTAGATGCACACCTCCTTCTGCGCAGTGATATGGTTGGTGGGTGTAGTTTGGTAGAAAGAAAATAGTTCCTACATGAAACTGCTCACAACAAGGTCTGTGGATTATCTTGAGTAATTGGGTCATGATTTCTGGAAAGAGACATTGCTGTTGAGTTATTCAAATGTATTTTTGGCACTTTGAGCACCACAAGCTGAATGCCGTCTAGTTCCATTATATTTGAGAGAAGGCAGACATCTCTATGGCAGGTATTCCCAACACTCTGCAGCTAACACCAAAACAATCTAGACTGATAAATTGCGCTTCAGGTAAGAGGAAAAAAGTCATTTTCATTTTGCTGTGAACTGTCCCTTTAACAGAAGATGCACTCACTGAGTCAAATGAACCTTTGAGAATTTGAGAAACATTCACTCAGCGAACTTAGCGCTTAGCCTAGGACCAAGTAAGTGATTTTGGGGCCAAAATGTGGCCCTGAATATTGTATCACAGCGTATTTTTTAACGACATTGCATCCCAACGTCAGTTCGAGGGTGCCTGTACAAATAGTAGAGATCACTTTTGTAGAATAGAACTTGTAAATGAATGTACATATGTTAATATGGGTGGGTGTAGAGACACAGACTTGGCTTTTATAATTTTAGCATACAGTATGTATGAAATGTATGAAGTGAACAACAACTGCACTGCACCGATAATAAGTGACATTTGTAGACTATTAAATCAAAGAACTCTGTCACATTACTTTGCATAAGCTGAACTGCTGGTTGAAATCATCATACGCTTTTTTTTTCACACTTTGAGTGCAACATTTCAGTGTTTTAATCCTGACCTTTTAAAACCTGCATACAATACACATAGCCAGACTCCAGTTATGCAACCTCCATAACTGCAAGAAACAACTCCCACATGAACACACACATATGCACATATTTATTTTTTACAGTTTAATTAAATAAACCAACCAGTGGCTGAAGAGGATTAGTGGCTGCGATGCCTCAAACACACGCAGCTCAATTGGCTTCGGTTTACATCCTCATGGGTTTTAAAGAGTGTACTATAATCATGGAGGTTTTTTATTCACTCATTTTCACAGTTTATTATTATGTTATGAGGAGTATGAGGAATATTTATTGGTTACAGCAGTTACACATTTTCATTTGATCTGTTTTTATTACTATTAATAGGATTGTTATTACATGTTTTCAGGCTGAAGTATTGCTGGTAGGAAGACAGGAAACAAGCATTCATCTCATCAACTTTGTAGATTTGCATTTATAATATTCCATTTTATTTCTGTATGATGATATTTTTACTCTTGAAATAAAGAAGAGGTGTATTTTAAACACTGTCTTGTTTGCTGTTCTTGCTACAGACATACAGTGATGCGGGTTTTTAGTCTTTGGTGTTTTGCTGTCTGTGAATGTGTGAGCTATGGATGAATAAAAAGTGAACTATAAAAAGTCAGAAATGTGGTTAAAGCTAAAGTGACATGAGCAAAGGCCTGTCTTGTTTGTTTGGCAGTGTTGCCCTCTAGTGGTGGTCTGGTGTTTGTTCGATAAAGTGACCACCAAGGGGAGACACTACACAGTTTTTATCATGCACAGGTCATTTTTTGCTTCCATACTATGTCATCTTTCAGACTAGAGAGGAGAAAAGGCCAAAATATACATTAAAGTCTTCATTTTAGTTCAGATTTCTGTCCTGAAAAGCTATACAGAAAGTGCATATTTAATTAGATAACGACTCATTTGCATGTTTGAAACTAAAATTTCAGAAAACTATTGTCTTGATGAATTGGGGAAGTTTCATGCCAATTTTTATGAAACCTTTTAACCTATTTACCTGTATTTTGGTCTAAAAATGTGTATGGGCACATCTAAGTGGTAGGATGCCCCGGGGCAGACCCAGAACACTCTGGAGGGATTACATATCTCATCTGGCCTGGGAACGCCTTGGGGTCCCCCAGGAGGAGCTGGAATGTGCTGTTGGGGAGAGGGACATCTGCAATACTTTGCTCAGCCTGCTGCCTCCGCGACCCGGCTTTGGATAAGAGTTACAAATGGATGGATATGTATAATATCTTACAATACATATCTTTAAAGGCCATTTTCTAAAGATGAATTTTCTTCTCATACTATGAGCTTAACATCTCCACTGTAGTAGCACTCACACACAAAAACCTTACTGTTTTATTACCAGCTATTTAAGGAAGGATTTTACTGAGGGGTGATTTAGAGAACATTTTATTCCTCAAAAACATGGCAAAAATAGATTTTTTTTTATGGCTGTTAACAGTATTTTCTGATTTATGGAGTGATAAAAAGAGATATCCAAGAGTCTCTCTGTAAAAACCTTTCATTTTAATATGTCAACGAAATTTAAAGACAAACATTTGAACCTGGCTTTGAACAAAGTTCAGATTTGTGTTCATGAAATGTATGCAAAGTGGTGCATATTTAATTAGGTAATGTGGCTTATGCACATTTAAGCATAACATTTCAGAAAATGTGTAATACCAAAACTGATTGTTTTAATATAATGCTGCGTTTACATGCTCCTTGGATTCCTCAGTTCGGAAGTTGTTCTTCTGTGTTCCTGAGCTTTAAATCATAATGTGGAAACTGCATGGATGCTACAAAGAAGATGTGTTATATTTCATTGCTCAGAGCATGTAAACAACACAACGGTAACAGTTTGAAGCTCTGTATTACAAATTGATTTTGCCCCAGACTTGCTGCACCAGTACATCTGGCATGGTGGTGCAGTGGATAGCATGGCTGCCTTACAACAAGAGGGTTCTTGGTTCATACCGAGGGTGGAAGGGGGGCCCCTCTGTGTGGATTTTGCATGTTCTCCCCATGTCAGCGTGGGTTTTCTCTGGGTACTCCGGCTTCCTCCCACAGTCCAAAGACATGCAGGCTAACTAGTGACTCTAAATTGACCCTATTCACCTGTAGTGTCTCCATGTAGCCGATAACTTTTAGATTTACCAAGTGGCTCAGATGCAGAGCAACTTAGGTTACTCTTCCCACAAATCACAGTTTATACTTTCAAAACTCATTAACAAAAAATGTGACAACTTACTTCCTGGGGTTTCAAATAGTCTGCTCAATTGCTCAGAGGTTGTGTGGTTTTAATAATGACACTTACTAAGAGAAAATCAGTGACCTAACATCAGAGGAAATCATGAAACATACTTCAACTACTCTTCTTAGAAAAATATACTAATTTTACAGCCATTTTGAAGAATTATATTTTACTTTACACAAATTATGGCATCTAGATTAAGCAAATGCAGTATGTACATGAGACAAATTATAAAAATGTGTCTTTACAAACATTCTGTCAAAATGTTTACATGTTTTTTTTTTTATAATATAATTTTGAGTTCCTTCACATATTAAGACACAGAGTGACGCACACACAGTGCTACAGCACATTTTCAATAAGGCTGGTGTAGTGCAGTCATCCAGTAGAATCATTAACAACAACCATGTAGTTCAGTTTTGTCCATTCACCATAACTTATTAAACATAACAAAACACATGTATAAAAATCCTTTACAGGCCTCTAGTACCTCCAGTCAGGAGGGCACCATGTGATTTAAATGTTTATTTCTAACCTTCAGTCATCATACTGTCAATATTTTAATTCAAGCAGTGTAATGATGTAAATCTGAATGTAACCTCTGTCAGTGTCAGTGTACGAGGTGTCACATCTACCAGAAGACACCAGCAATAAGTATGAGTACTGTACTTGTCCCCACAGCCTTTTCTCATTTTAACCAGGATAGTTTCAGATACTGGATCAGAATTGTGTTGTCAAGCGTTCGCTCATACTTGTTGGATTCGCTATAGATGACTTGATCTTCTTGGTGAGGTTACTGCGGGCGTCCTGCCCAGCCAGGAAGTAAAGGATGGGGTCCAAACAGCTGTTGGCGCTGGCAAAAGGGCGAGTCACCTTGTAGGCCACACTGGAGGCCTCCAGCAACGTACAGCTGATCTGATGGACATAAACAATGACAAATGTGATACACTGGGCTTTAAAGTAATTGTAGCACAATTTTTATAAGGGTGTTTGTCCTCACCTGGTCTGGATTGACCTGCCTTAGGTATCTAAAGGAGTAATAGAGACTCCTGGTGAGATGGAAAGGCAGGAAGCAGAGCATGAACGCTGCCAGCACGATGATGATCATCTTCACTGACTTCTGCTTGGAACGTGAGGCGGACATGCCTCCCCTCTCGCCCCCTTCAGACCCCCAGCCAGGCTCCAGAAGCTTCCTCACCATGAGGCCGTAGCACACCATCACCACCATGAAGGGCAGGGCGAACATGAGCACTGACACGACTGAGCTGTACACCAAGAAGTCATCAAAGAGCTCTGGGCTGGTGGTGTCGTAGCAGACCCGCTGCTCAGCCTCTATATCCCTGGCAGGAGAGATTGTAGTTGTT